TCATAGACCTGCATGTATTGCAATTCAATTGAGCCACTCGATAAAATAATCATATTATTAGATTACGTTATGAGTGTCGTTATATATTAATTAAAACGTTTTGAAATGACACATGCACAAGTAGATATTCATGTGTATTTTCTACACTGACTACCAAGCATATAAACATATTTCAGCGAGAGCGCCCTGCCGGTTGGTATGAATGAAACACTTTTGGGAGTGTGGGGTTACCCAAAGCAAGTGCCAAAACAGGTTAGATGTCAAATACAAGATAGCCGCTCACTGAACCTGTGACACTTGTAATAATTACTGTGTGCTGAAATACACACGGCACATTCAGTTATGTTTTATTGAGTACCATCTGTCAATACAATCGCATACAATAGTGCATGTAGTTGAAAATACTAATAAGGTCAAATAATACATTGATCATTGGTGGTCTAAAGCTGGTGCACTCGCACGATTTCGTATAATTGTAAATTTAACAGCAATATTATTTTACCCCGAATAAATATATAAGCAAGTGCATGAATGGATGGATGAATGGATGAATGAATGAATGAATGAATGGATGAATGAATGCATGGATTGCGTGTAACACACGACTTATTTTGTGTTGCTAAATTGTATTTTTCTTCAATCTTACCAGTCAAATATGGGGCACTAGTGCGTTATTATATTGTGTATGTGCTGCTATCGCGAGATATCATAGTATTTTGCAATGGTTCGCACATATTTCAACTCAGCGTTGTGTTGTTTTTATTCTGCTCTTATATTGATTAACTTTCGTCATGAAGACGATAGTGGTGGCAATAACCTCTATCGTGACACTAATGCTTTCACCGATGCATATCGAACGTATTTCCGTTATTCAATCACATCACGAGTTCGAAGAAAGAATAATGGGCACAACAATACCCTGCTTACCAAGGAAGGATTATGCTAGCTCGATCTCATATGGAGAACAGCAACATCCGCAAAAAGTTCGCCATGCGCCACAAATGAAGGAATTAACCTCCATGACCATATGAGCGCTATTTATCTAGCAATATTTTGGTGAGAATTAAGCGACTTGTGATCCTTTCAGACAGTTTATATCCTCGTCTCATTATAGCTTAAAAGTGCATTATAAAATGTCGGAGCTTTATTTATTTCGTTGATGAATTGAAAGACTTAAATCCCATTCAATAATCTGTATCCATTTCTATATTAAATTCAACGTTCATACGTGGAAATCTATCATGTTTGTCATTTATGTTATAAGGGATTGTGTTGACTAAATTGAGACCAAAACTGATTTCTATAAAAATCGTTTAAAGTATGTAAAACGGCTCGTAATTACCATAAGTAGACAGTTGTTAATGGATGAACCATCTTGATATGTATACGCACAAAATTGTATATTTACAAGTTTACATTTCCATCATAGCACCTAAAAGACAATTTTTCTCATAAAATAAAACATTTATTTTGTGTACATTACAATCAAATAATAATTACGAGACTGCCGGCAATCATGAAAAGTAGATTTTACATCAATAATATTTACCGTGTTTGCGATAGCAGCGCCCCCAAAGTTTGCAATTAAAAAAATGTGTACCTTCAGTTTGCAGTGAAAAGCATACCGATAATTCTACTAGTGATGAATGTCAGATTTGCTGGTACGCTGAAGTTGACGAGACGTCCATCATGGTAACATCCTAGCGTTAATGACACGTCCCGTCGCGTCAAAGGTCGTTCATTATAAGAACACAGTGACAGTTTGAGTTCAAACGTCAGATATACCGACAAATTGTTCTTGAGTAGATATTGTTGACAGGGCGCGTATGTAGCAAGGTCTGTACAAGGGTTGACCTAGGTTAAGAGTTCTTTTATCAGAAATTGTGACAGATGTGCCAGTGAGTTATCAACAAAACAAAACAGTGTGCTGTACAAAGTAGATATTTACAATGTTTTTTTTATCAGAAAATTAAGTTATACATATAACGACAGCATATTTATGTGTAAGTACTTTTTAATATCAATATCGAAATAACGTCTAAAATAGCATGATTAGAGCACTGCTTGTTAGATGATATACATTTGTGCTATTTGAAACCAAAGTTACGTAATGTATGGGAGCTGCCTGTTGAAGTAGAAGAATTATCACCGTTCTGTATTGTAAACAATAACTTGGCATATAAACGTTTGTAATAAGTTGTATAGGTAAACAAACAGACTAATAGTACAACATGAAATACGGCAATCGGACTCGTGATCACAGCAGACGCCGCACCACAGCAGGCGAACACGCCACGGACCATTTCATGTCAAAAACAGGCAAATGACGTACAGTGAATACCACCACAAAGATGGTGATGCTTACTAAGGCTGTATGGGTACGGTCAAATCACATAGAGTTACGTAATACGCATACGATATGCACGTATTTAAGTTCGCCAAATGGTATTTCAATTCTAGGCTTGATTTTTACATTATATTAACTTGCCATAGTAAGTATGTAATCCACGTTCGCGTTTAATTTATTTAAATCGTTTATACCGCGATATGAGGAGACTAAATGCATGTATTTTCTAAATTGTTTTCAGATATTATGTTCCGTATTTCATCCTGGTTTTTCAAACAATCATCTCCCTGAGTTCAATCCGCTTTAGTAAAACAGATCCACATATAAACACAAATCTTGTTCTAATGACCAGCCTGCGTTAATCTTCAATAAGGGTACGGCGAGTAAATTGATTATCGGATATATGCTGCTATGGAATTGGGAATTATGTTTCTTCATTAGCAACAAACAGAACAAAATCCGATTAAACTTGTATATGTTCAGTGTACCATTGATCTGTTACGTCTATAGTTGACAGTCGGCTGACAACAAGTACACGACAACTTTACTGGGTGTACGTACGTAAGCTCACAAACATGGCTTTTTTTAGTTTTCTGTGTGTTTGGCCATTGAACGATACAATAGTACGACAAAGCAATAAATGCAAATATATGAACTTTGTTCTCAATTAAAATTCAAAATTGTACTATTAGGGGATATTTTACACTTGTATTATTTCTTTCGATAATCATGTTTACCGCCCTCTATGTTGTGGTGTGTAATATTTATGATAATTTTTGTCATTGTTTAATAATAACAGAACGATTTATTTCTTGTTTTCAATGATAAGGGTATATATAACAAACCAAAATATAAATAATTGCCATCAGTAATGTATCCCAAAGAGCCTGAGGGGCCCAATTAGGTAATTGTGTTTGGATGCAAATCTGTCTTACAACTGGAACAAGGTTAGTTCATTATTCTGAAACTCACACCCGAGTTCATTAGACATTATCCCGATATTTTCTTACATTTTCTAAGCTGGGTGGGTGAATATGACTACGTGAAAGGGTAATTAACTCTCTTAGTTGTTCGTCAGGGTAATGCCAATTTAAATTGATGTACCAAATCGTCGTTATTATATCTGGTAATTCATATGCATCAGTTTTAGTACATACTAAGTGTTATGTCAAATATAGATCGACGTTCATAAGACACTCAACTTGACCTTTGGCCTAAATTCTTAAACAATTGGTTGTTGTATTTCATGAACGGCTTTGCAAATATCAACAACTTATATTATGGCGCCCTCTATGGAGCAACTTTCTTTTTAGGTCGCTTTTAATCGAATTGTATCGTTAATTCAATAAGTCAATGAAGTCATGATATTAATTACTATTAAAGTGGATGGAAATTAAAAAAAAAAGGATGCAAACAATATACGTACATTCTATTCACTGACGCTTGTCTTTATGAAATTAGCGAGTTTGTTCGCAAAATTGTTTTATTCAAATGTGTGTCGTCGTGTTCACTCCTTAGCTATTGATGGCATTTAGAATGTGGAATTTAATTGGATGCGTATTTGTTGAAATAATGACATTGTTTACCTCACTTGTAATAAAGACAGTACGTTTATTGGTAAACTCATGAAATTTACCCTGTAGGATATGTAAATTAGTCAAGTCACTAAGAATTTTATTATGCATAAGTTGTTCGAGTTATGAGTGTTCTTGACAAGACAGTGTTGATGCATTTTTTGTTTAATTAAAACAATAAACAAAATGTTATTAATGTAAAGACAATTACAAAAAAGACCATTTCAACTGCACGCGAATAATGCTTTTCAACTACATATGTGTCCATACCTAAATATACAATACGATACAATTAATACAATATGGACATAGTATATACATAGTTTTATATTTATACAAATATATCCATACATGTCAATAATTAGAAAGTTTTCGACTTTCAATCAACTTCTCATTTAGCGGATTAACCAATAATCTTTTAAATACATCGGCCAGTATACACAATTATACAACACGAACGTTGCAGGAAATAAAATCCTAGAATAACGATCGATATTCTTGGCAATGTTTTCGTATTTAACACGCTCCTGTTCGGCGTCAGTGACATTACCTATAGTATCATTTTGTGGCATCTGCACACGTGTGTCTAAGTTCATGTAATTGTAGTTATGTTCAAGAACGTTGCCATTGGTCATTGAAAAACAGTCGTTTGAAAACTGGCGATTCTGGTTTACGATTGTTGGACCCTGTAAAATGAAAGAAATGTATATTGGTGTATCACGTGTATTGGAATCGCGTGAAAAACATAATTTGCATATATTTTTATTCTATAATGGTAAATATTAATGACGTGTAAAGTGGTCGATTCACATTTGTTACCGAATATCTTTTATTGCAGTTGAAATGTGTGACACAGTGTATTAAAATTACACTGATATTTGTTAAAAGCGAAA